TTCTTAGGTGCTGTTAAACACATACTTTGTAATTTTCTTTGTTTACTATTTCATGTTGCATTTTGTAATTCTGTTGATCTTTTATCCATACATAGTCTGTCGAGTTTCTGCTTCTACTAAATTTCAGTAATTTCCTTCCCCTTTAAGACTTTCACTCATTACAATTTCCTTATTGAGATGTTCTCTGGGTAATAACCCAGTCCCTGTACCTTTGCTTTCTTTTTTCTTTGCATCAGCAAGCCAATCTATTTACTATCTTTTCTACCTTTTATGACTATTTTTTTCCCCTAGTGCCAGGGATCAAACACAGGACCTTGCATTTGCCAGGCAGGTGTGGTGCCACTGAGTTACATCACTGGCTCTGGCTAGTTTTTAATTTATAATTATTTTGATGTTTCACAGAAATTTTAAGTTCCTACAAAATATGGAAAATGTCTTTTACAAACCTGTTTTATAAACAAGGCATTGGAGCATGAGGTGTGTAAGGGGACAGGAGGATTGGGACAGGTACTACGATAATGTGTGCACCTGCCCCCCACGTTTTTACTTTATGCAGTTACCTGTAGTCAACAGAGATCTGAAAATATTAAGTGGAAAATTTTAGAAAGAAACAATTTGTATAGTGGTGCACATCCATGGTCCTAGCACTCAGGAGGACTGCTGTGAGAATAAGGTCAGCCTGAAATAAATAGACTATATCTCAAAAAACCCAAAAGAAATGGGCTGGGAATTTAGCTCAGTGGCTCTGGTGCCTGCCTCGAAAGCACAAAGGCCTGAGTTTGACCCCCGGTACAAAACAAAACAAAATAAAAAAAGAAAAAGAAATAGTTTATAAGTTTTAAATTGCTCCCCTTCTGCCTAGTATGTTATCTTGTGTCATCCTGTTCTGTTCCACCTGGGATATGAATCATCCTTTTTTCTTGTACACATAGTATATGGTACTCACCTGTTAGTCACATAGTAGCCCTCAGTTAACAGATAGACCATTATGGTAGTATAGTGCTTGTGTTCAAATAACCCTTATTGCTTACTAATGACCTCAGAGCACAAAAAAGTAGTGTGCTGACAACTCAGATATGCCAAAGAGAAGCTGCAAAGTTATCCCTTTAAGGGTAAAGGTTAACATATATATTTTGCAAGAGTAAACAAATGAGCATTTATATAACAAGTATAGCTACATGTAATTGTTCTATTTTATTGTTATTGTTAATCTCTTACTGTGCCTAATCTAGAAATTAAACATCATCACAGGTAAGGAAGGAAAGGGGAAAAAAATACCATATGTAGCATTCAGAAATATGAGGTTTCAGGTGTCCATCAAGGTCCTGAGATGTATCCCCTACTCATAAGGGGAACTATCGTATTGTTTATATTTCATAGATTCAATTAAGCTAGAAACCTTATATCATTCCTTGTTATGTGTTGTCCTTTGTAGAAACAAAAACAAGTCCTGGGCCCCGAGGAGCCTACAATCTAGAGAAAGAGAAAGTTGAATATGTAAACAACTTCACCAGACAAAAGTTATAATGGCAAGAAGTTCAGAGGGAGCCCGTTGATATTACAGAGCAGAAGTTACGTGCTTCTTTCAAGTTCAAGGCAACTGAGTAGCAGTTGAACATGGAACTCATCATACTATGCTGTCAGTTTTTTTGTTGTTGTTTTTGGTAAAAAGTCACGTATTTGGAGCATGCAGTAAGTTTTATTGAGTAATATAGAAGTGCAATGGGGACTCATTTGTTTGCATAGATATCATGCTTTTTTTTTTTTTTTTTTTAGGTTGAGAGAAGGTGTTGCTCTGTAATTCAGGCAGGCCTCGAACTCAGAGCAATATTCCTGCCTCAGATCCCAAGTGCTGGGATTATAGATTTGCACCACTATGCCCAGAGCATCACGGCTAGTTTTTGAAAATGTGAAATCTTTCGCTGCATGGGACTGATGAACTTTGGGCTTCTGCTGAAAAAGGGAGGGGTAGAAAGTAAGGAGAACCTTTTCTTAACTCCTGATAACTCACAGTTGGGGTTGAGAACAGAGAAGAAAAACCAAGTATAGAAACGGGACAGAAGTCATTAATGGAACACTACAGACTAGTATCAGTAGGGGAACACAGGGAAAAAAAAAACCCTCCATCTTCTGTTTCCAAATTTTTGGGAATTCTCTTGGTTTTCAGAGAATATATTTCTGCTATTCCAGCTAATTCAAAAAAATCTTTAACAATTTACAGTTAACACATGGTCAATGCAAATATGTCAAACACTAGGTGAGTGTACAAAATAAAAACTGCAAGTACCCTACTGCACACCCACTTATTATATAGTCTCCTGAGACAATAGTTGCTATAGTCTTCTAAGTATTTTCCATCCATAGTCAAGTAGGCATTTACACTTTTTCTTTAATCAAATAAATCTGGTAGTGTTCCCGCAAATTGGAGGTTGAAAACCCGATTAAAAGCATGGGCTCTTGAAGCCTGCTAGACCTGGGCTCAATCTCCAACTTCCTGGCTGTGTGACCCTAGGAAAATTACTTTTTTAGCTTCAGGGTATTTTTTTTTCTTTTTGTGAAGAATAAAAACGGTAATTAACTTCATAAAGCTCGAGGATTAAAAAGCAATAATGTATATAAATCATTTAGCACAGTGCCAGACACATAGTAAGCATGAACACTATTGTCTATGGCAAGTGACCTTTCTCATTATAACACTAAAAATAAGGAAATGTGTTGCTTTCACATTTTGACAAGTGCTGTTAAACAAATGTTGCTCATTTCTTTTAACTAATTATATCTAAGTTGAAGAAACTTGCATTTCCAAACCTAAAGCCACACTAAATGACACTTAAATGGGAATTGGAGCATTTTGGAAGCCAGTATCCCGCGTCTCCCCTACACTCCGCTAACGTCTAGAATTACACACACACACACACACACACACACACACACACACACACACACACACACACACACACACACACACACACACACACACACACACACACACACACAGAGCAAAAAAACCAAACTTCTGCGATTCCACGGCCTGCCGAGAACGCTCGACCAGGACAGGTTTTGCACAGTGAGTGCAGCTTCTGCTTTACGTTGAGTGCTCGCCTCCCACGGTGGCGCCCCTCCATCCCATCCTAAGATAGCCGTGGCAACGGCGCAGGCGCCCCCGGAGGGGCTGAGGGGGACTCGACGGCAAGGGACGCGGCTGTGCACGTGAGGTGCGCCCGAGGGGTGCAGGCTGCTGGCCCAGGGCGGGAGGCTCCTCCGCGAGAATCCGGCGCTGTCTTCTCCCCGATCTCCGTCCAGGGGCAGCGTCTCCGCCGTCTGCAGCCCTTGGTCTCACTGCCTCCACTCCGCGGCCCCGTCCTGTCCCACTCTCGGCTCTCCTTTTTGGCACTGCCCTTTGCCCTCCCATGGAGTATTCTGTTTACTCTCCCTTCGCTTCCAGTCACCCATAGGTCGCCCCCCCATCTGCCACAGTCACCCATTTTGTTCCCCTGCTCTTCACCTCCGCCGACGGAGATGCTGCGGACCCTGCGGCCCGGGTCCGCTCCCCGGAGGAGCCCCAGTCCGCCTCTGCCCTCTCCTCAGGGTCGCGGGAGGCAAGTTTCCGCCCCGTCCCTTCCCCAGTGACAGACGCCGCCGGGGACGCGGAGGGAGGGACGGCCTGGCTCCCGAGCCCCCTCCCCTGCTCGCGAGCTCGCGCGGTCTGTGTCTCCGCAAGTGCGGAGACGCGG